ACGCATGCGCAGGACGGATTCAGCACCTGCGCGATCCTCCAGGAGCAGCTGGAGCATCGCACAGATGCTAGTACACATGCATGAGCCACGCACGCCGCACGCATGCACGAGGACGCCGCCGGCCCCGTTCCAACCGAACCGGTTGGAACGGGGCGAGAAACCCACCCCTGGATTGCAGGGTTAACTGGGCCTTACCTTCAAAGAAAACATAAGAGAACTTGCAGAGTAGAAAAGAGGGAGGGTTAAGAAAACAAGCAGCTTGACAGATAGTGTAAAAAGTAGGGAAGGGAAGGAGGAAAAAAGCAAATAAATATTTTTTTAAAGAAAAAAGAGGGAAACTAGTAGTCCAGGATGGGTTCCTGTACTAGTTGGAATTGATTCGCTTCACGCCCACACACCAACCATGTGTTGCTCATGCAAGCACAATTGACTATAATTTGTTCTGCGCATGTGTAGAAACATGTCGGCAATGGCAGAAGAGACCGGGGAACCGGTTCGGGGGCATGGCTGGCCTGGGTCGCTGCTGGTTCTATGACCCTAGCCAAATCACAACTACCGGTTCGGCCAAACCAGGCTGAACTGGGAGCAACCCATCTCTGTAGTCGTCCATGTGAAAAGCTCAAAAATAATTCTGCATGGAGGAGTTTTGTTGATGGACTTCTTTAAGGAAAAACAATTTACTGTTTGATCTGATCATAACAGTATTTTTATCAAATTGTTCAGAATCAACCAATCTTCTAGGAAAGTGAGAGGCCATTTATAACCTCCTCTCCTATCTAAGATGCAATGTTTTAAGGAAAAAGACATTTTGGGCTAGTGGCAGTGAGATTTTAAAGTATTATTTATGCCCCAAATAAACTTAGTCAAAAATGATGCCACTTCTCACCAAATAAATTTGGCTTCATCGTAAATAAAAACAAAGCAATCATAAAGCACAGGGAGTAAAATGACAGATTGTCAATTGCTTTGCGGTATAAAATAAAAACTGTTGTTTGAAGGATTGCTCTGTAATTTATTAAGAATAGTCAAAAAATAACATGACTTTATGGGATAACAGCCTTGAAGCTTCTGAAAAATTGTGATAACTCTGTTCTTTGATAAACTGCAATCCTAGCTAGATTACAGGTAAGACAAAATTCCTCTCTTTTTTGACGAAAGAAGAATACATACAGGATATTTATAGTCCTGTATGTATTCTTTTGTCCAAGTAGATAGTTTAAATAACACACACTTATGTGCACATTTTTAGAAAAAAATAAAGAGAATGCCACCTGGATCTGAAAGATTTGTGCCTGTTACATTGTTTCTTTTTTGCAGCCAGCTGTTACAGACAATGACATTATGTTTGTAAAAATCCACTGTCCTTGGGATACACTCTGCAAATATGCCGAAAGAATGAACATTAGGATGCCTTTCAGGTAATAATAAAATGCTTAATTTTTTCACTTGTTAAACTAAGAATGTATTTTTTTCTAACAAGCACATTTATTTATAGCTCTCATAGTGTTTTATTAATAGCGGTAGCAATAGCACTTAGACTGTACCTCTCTGAGTGGTTTGCAATGTCAGCATATTACCCCCAACAATCTGGGTTCCCATGTTACTGATGGAAGGCTGTGTCAGCCTTGGGTTCCATCAGGATTGAACTCCAAGATGTGGGCAGACTTAGACTGAAATACTGCAGTCCAGTATGACCACCAGGGATCATTGACAAACACACTACACTCTGTGAGGGATATTGTTGCTTCAAGGATTGCTGTGTTGATCCAGTTACTGGAAAATCTTGTCTGGGAAGTTTTTAAAGCAGGAAACAATATTGCAGGATTCATAGCACTGGGTATGGCTACAAGAGAGAGAAGATCCTCTTCCTTCTCTATATTTCCATCATGCAGAACAAAATTAGCAAGTTAGGTACATCATTTTCCTTCCTACTGCTTACAGTCCCGGAAGGGGACAGACAAATGTGAGCATACTTACATCTTTGGTATTTTTATTACAGCTAGCAAAGAAATCAGATTAGAGTAAATCAAAACTCTTTGTCTCACAATTGCTCAGCATTGTTGAATGCATAAGCAATAGACAATATAGCAGCAATAGCAGTAGACTTATATACCGCTTCATAGGGCTTTCAGCCCTCTCTAAGCGGTTTACAGAGAGTCAGCATATTGCCCCCANGTAGACTAGTAATTTGTTTACAAAGGGGACAGTATCCAAATTTGAAAAGAGTACTGCAAAAGACAGGTGCAAGACAGCTATTACATTGAGGTAAACTGGTCATTTTGAAATAAATAAAATCACAATTTCAAGCGCACTAATCCAGAATGTATTATTACTATTTTGGTTTATGGAGATATGATTCGCATGCCGTTAGGTGCGCGGGCCACTACCTACTCCTCTTTTTCTCTCTGCTCCCCCCCTTCCAGCCAGCAGTTCCAATCACCAGCCACAGGAGAAATTAGGGATCCAGATGGCTAAGAAAGTAAAATATCTTGGAATCTGGTTGACGATGAAAGGATCCTCTATAAAAGAGGATAATTATAATAAATTATTACAACAAATACAAAAAGATTTGGACAATTGGGCAAAATTACAACTATCACTAATTGGAAGAATTGCCACAATCAAAATGAATATACCTAAAATCTTGTTTCTCCTCCAAACAGCACTGATAAAATTAGGGAACAAATTCTTTGAAGAATTAAATAAAATAACATTAAAGTTTATTTGGCTGGGGAAGAAATTTCATATAAAATTAAAACTTTTGCAATATAGCAGAAATAAGGGAGGTTTTGGACTCCCAGATTGGGAATTTTATTATCATGAGGCAGCCATGATTTGGTTTAAAGATTGGATAAACCTAAATAATAAAAGGATACTAACAATAGAGAGTCACAACCTTCAACTTGGCTGGCACACATTTATTTGGGAGGGAAAAAACAAAAAACACTCATATTTCCAGAGACACTTAGTAAGAGATACCCTACTATATGCCTGGGAGAAAATTAAGAAAAAACATTGTATGAAAATTCCAATCTGGCTATCAACTATCCAAGTAATGATATATCCCAATGTATTAGACGTAAACAAGATAGAGTAAGTAAGTAAGTAAGTAAGTAAGTAAGTAAGTAAGTAAGTAAGTAAGTAAGTAAGTAAGTAAGTAAGTAAGNACATCTTGTAAAGAACAGGTATATCAGTCTCATCAGGGGATGCAGAAAGACCAACTAGCTCTTTTGCTCCTAGTATAATTTTGAATCAGAATTACAGGTACAATACTCTTCAACACTACTTTTGGCATGTCCTATTCCTATCAGATTCCACCAAACCTGTACACAACATCAGCCATTACAGCATCTACTATCGAGATAATATTCACACACAAAGAAAAATAAAGACTCATAGTTGTACCTTCAGGGTCAGACCATAGAAGATCACACATGGGGCCATCATGAGGGACCTCTTGCTTGCGATCTATTGTTCGGATCTGGTCCAGAGTCTGGATGGATGGGGATAAGCCACCATGGACACAGAAAATCTGAACAGAAAAGACAACACTTAATACAGTATACATCATGGATCTTCCTCCATCTTTAAACCATCATCACTCTTTTTCTCTGATCACCCTATCTAAGAGACACAATCGCTATATGTCCCCACTTACCCCTTTACAGTCTCTGATATTCAGTTATGCATTTGATTAAAAACAACCAAGTGCTGGATTTGAGTTAAGAGAAGACATTCATTTTGAATCAACCCCATGCCACCAGTGATTATCCCATAATTACATGTCTTGGAAAGTAAACTAATGAGTTGTTTCCCCATCCCCCCTATTTTTCAGACAGTTAGTCCTTCAAATCAGAATCTGATCTCCTTCAGATTCATAATTCATCATGAGTCAAGAATTATACTTGCATACTCACCTTGCCATCAATAATGGCAGAGAGGCTGAGGTAGTCAAAAATCTCAGTGCAGTAGCGCCACACAGTGACAGAGCCATATTTTCTCAAGCACTCATCATAAAACCCATATACCTGGGTGATCTGCCTGCTTTCGTGATTGCCACGGATAAGGGTGATTCTGTCTGGGTAACGGACCTGTAAAAAGAAGTGGATCCATTTAGCTTATCCTTCAGATTTAAAAAGGTATTAGTAAAACTGGCATCACTGACAGCACTGACACTGACTTTTAAATAAGAAAAAAAAATCAATGTTATCAGGGCTTTCCTTACTTTGAGTGCCAGCAGCAGCAAGAATGTTTCAACACTATAGAAGCCTCGATCAACAAAGTCTCCCATGAAAAGATAGTTGGTCTCAGGTACATCGCCACCTACCTGATGCATGAAGACACAGAACACATGAAAAGGTTACCCNCTCCGCTTTCCCTTTCTGTGAAGATTGTAAACACAGGGAAGTCTGCAGAACTCTCGGCGGAGACGGAGGCCTACGGACTCCATGCCCAAACCGCAGCAGCCGAAATGATGAGGGAGAACCCCTGTGTCCACGTTGCTAAATTAAGGGTTTCTAGCGATGGAAAGGCAACAAGTGGATTTAATCTCACCCATCCAGATCTTTCCAAAATGATGGTCTTAGAGGCGAAGCGAAGTGGGGGTGGTCAAAATGGGAGACAGTCAGGGGGCAGCGTCGTCTAGAGGGCCCTCACCACCCTTCAGGCTTTCCGCAAAGCTAACAAGACCTGGCTGTTCCTGGCTGTTCCGGCAGTCCTGGGGCTGATGAGTTCCCAGCCCCACTTGAATTGTTGTGACTGTTGGGTTGTTTTTAAACTGTTTTTGTATTGTTTTTGTCGTTGTCCGTTGTTGTATTTCCCCCCTCCCCTACTTTGTTTGTTAGCCGCCCTGAGTCCCTCGGGAATAGGGCGGCATACAAGTGTAATAAACATACAACATACGCCTGAGGTGAATCACGGATGGCAGCAGCAATAGCAGCTAGAGTCGGGAGGGCCAGCCTCAGAGCCGGAGTCTCAGCAATCAATCCGCAGCAATGGTGGTTAAAGTCCAGATCAGAAAAGCCGTGATGAAAAAGGGTGGGGGGGGGGGCGCTTGGATTAGTGCTTGACTCACCAACACCCCCCCCCCCCAGGCAGCGGCAGGGCTCAACGGCGTCTCGGCAAAAAAACAGGCTGTAACAATCCGAGTTCAAACAAAGTTCAAGCTGAAAAAGCCGTCAGTTAGAAATTTATTGTCTGTGGAAAAGAGAGGGGGGGCGCCGTACAAGCCGCACGCCACCGCCCAACACCGCCAGAACAGTCTAAGCCACCAGCATAGTGCCCCTCTAGGCAAACGCCAAACCCTGAGACAGGACGCCACTCCACGGTGAAAAAAACCACCGTTCGTGAGGAGGGGGGGCGCCGCCTAAGGGCCGTCCGGCGACACCGAAGATCGCCCAAAGCCCAAGCCCAAAGCCGCCTAGGGAGCATCTCCCTTTCTTCCCCGGCTTATTTCTCAAATCGCCCAAGCCCAAACCCGCCTGGGGAGCGTCTCTTCAGATGTCAAACAACCTCCAGAAGCGTCTTTTTCTCCTTTAAAAAACTGCCGTTCGTAAGGAGGAGGGGGGGGCGCCGCCTAAAGAGCCGTCCAACTACACCGAAGATCGCTTAAAACCCAAGCTGCCTAGGGAGCGTCTCTCAGATGAAAAACAGACCTCTGAGAGCGTCTTAGATCTTCCTCACCCTGACTCTGATTATCCCCAGAGATGGCAGTCGACAGAGACTTGGCTAAGCGGAAATTTTTCTCTCCTCAAGCCTGAGCGGAGGCTTGAGGAGAGAAAATATATAGATTATAAAATCTTTACTAAAATACTAGCGAACAGGTTAATGTTGGTTATTCAACAATTGATTCGTAAGGATCAAACAGGTTTTATTCAAGGGATACATATGAGAACTAACATAAGATTAATCCTTAACACATTAGAATACCTGGGGACAATCAAAT